TCATTACTCACGTCTCACAATACAGTGCTAAACTTCGATGCAATTATAGCCAGACTAGATTGCACATATGCGGACAAAACGTCCTTGAGAGTGCTACGGCAAAATATAGAAATGGTTCGGCAAGGAGACTCCGACCTTATGGCATACTATGACGAGGTCGAGAGGAAACTCACGCTTGTCACTAACAAAATAGTAATGTCACATAACTCGGACACAGCAACTATCCTAAATAAGGAGGTTAGGGATGACGCCCTTCATGCGTTCATTGCAGGGCTTAAAAGACCACTCAAGTCACTTGTGCTGCCAGCACAACCCAAAGACCTTCCGTCTGCACTAGCGTTAGCGCGAGAGGCCGAGAACAGCATTGAGAGAAGTGCGTTCGCGGCATCCTACGCGAAAGCTATAGAAGACAAGTCCCATTTCAATGAGGGCAACAGGCGCAATAGTAAGAGTCAGGGAAAGCAATGGAGAGGCGAGGATAAGAATCCGCACTTTGTCCCTAAACAAAACTAAAATAAATCTCATGAGAACAATTCCTGGCCAAAGCACAGGGATACTGAGCCACTAGACCAGGATAAAGTTCAACCCATGGAGGTAGACCCCTCAACGGCTAGATTTAGACAAGAAACAAGCTGGGGAAAGCCTCAAAGTAACAACAACTACAAAAGAACTCGTCCCAGCGTCAATCAGGCCAAAGACGCCAACGCGTCAACAATATAGCCCTACCCCAACAGGAGGCGACGGATTATGCCACCACAGCTGAGGCCGAGGTTGCCACCATCGAGGAAGATAGCGACTCCGCCGAGCTTAACGACCTCCTCCATTTTTTAGGGAGCGTTCCCGACTGCAGTTCGTCGAGCGACAGTTGGCTGGCAAATCAGTAAAAATTCTCATCGACACCGGGGCGGCAAAAAATTACGTGAAGCCCGTAAAGGAGCTAAGAAACGTAAACCCGGTCGAAACCCCCTTCACTGTGAGCTCTATTCACGGCTCCAGTGATGTCAAATACAAGTGCATAATGCGCATTTTTGGACTAGACGTCCCATTTTTCCTCTTGGATACATTGAGCACGTTCGATGCTATAATAGGCTTCGATTCGCTAACGCGAGCAGGAGTAGCATTGGACCTAGGCAACAGCGTGATAAAATACGCAAATGTCACCGAAAAGCTCAAATTTTTTGACTGTCAAAATGTCAATTTCACAAAAATCGATGACATAGTGGTGCCAAGTTCGGCTAAAGCCGAATTCAAAAAAACTATTCTGAAAAGAATTAAGGTGTTTTCAACCTCTAACGAGGCGCTCACCTTCAACACATCGGTCATCGCTACAATTCGAACTACGAGTGACGAACCTGTCTACTCCAAGTTATACCCCTACCCTATGGGGGCAGCAGACTTTGTAAATAACGAAATCAAAGAACTGCTGCAAAACGGCATAATCAGGCCGTCCAGATCCCCATACAACAGCCCTGCCTGGGTAGTTGATAAAAAAGGGATTGACGATAATGGCAGCAAAAAGAAGCGATTAGTAATCGATTTTAGGAAGCTGAACGAGCGAACAGTTGCCGATAGCTACCCCATGCCGAGCATACCCTGATTCTAGCGAACTTGGGAAAAGCCAAATTCTTTACTACCCTAGACCTGAAGTCAGGGTACCACTAAATATACCTGGCTGAAAAGGACAGAGAGAAAACCTCGTTCTCAGTTAATGGTGGGAAGTACGAATTCTGCCGACTACCCTTCGGCCTAAAAAACGCAGGGAGTATTTTCCAAAGAGCCATCGACGATGTGCTGCGGGAAGAAATCGGCAAAATATGCTACGTCTACGTTGACGATGTTATCATCTTTTCCGAAAATGAAACGGAACATGTCAAGCATATTGACACGGTGCTTAAGCGCCTACTCGATGCCAACATGAGGGTGGCACGAGAAAAAACAAATTTCTTTAAAGAGAGCGTTGAATTCCTAGTGTTCATTGTTACCAGAGGAGGGACAAAAACAGACCCAGAAAAGGTTAGGGCAATAAAAGAGTTCCCGGAACCAAAAAATCTGTTTAGCCTCAGGTCCTTCCTGGGCCTGGCAAGCTATTACAGAAGCTTTGTAAAAAACTTTGCATCTATTGCTAGACCCCTGACCGCCATCCTCAAGGGGGAAAGCGGGACGGTCAGCAAGAATATGTTGAAAAAAGAAGCTGTCAGGTTTAATGAAACCCAGCGAAATGCATTCGACCACCTTCGTAACATTTTGGCATCCGAAGATGTCATATTGACATACCCTGATTTCAAATCACCGTTTGACCTAACCACTGACGCCTCAGCGAGTGGAATTGGCGCGGTACTGTCCCAAAATAAAAGACCTATTACCATGATTTCACGCACGCTGAAAGACTGCGAGCTGAACTACGCCACAAACGAAAGAGAATTATTGGCGATAGTCTGGGAAATAGCCAAACTCCAAAATTACCTGTACGGTAACAATGAGGTACGGATCTTCACAGACCACCAGCCTCTCACGTATGCGGTATCCGACAAAAATACCAACGCTAAAATCAAGCGATGGAAAGCGTTCATTGATGAGAACAACGGGAAAGTATTTTACACACCCGGAAAACAAAACCTGGTAGCTGACGCATTATCGAGGCAACCCCTGAATAACTTAGAGGCTGAAGCCCAGTCTGACGCGGCTACATTGCATAGTGAGCTTTCGCTCTCGTACACCATAGAGACCACAGATAGACCTCTTAACTGCTTTAGAAACCAAATTATTTTGGAAGAAGCGGATCAACCGCTTCGCCGAGATTTCATAGTCTTCGGAAATAGAACTCGTCATATCATCAATTTTAATAACAAGGACTTGCTTGTTGAATCCGTTAAAGAGATCATCAACGCCAACGTTGTGAACGCGATTCACTGCGATTTCCCTACCCTGGCTCGCATCCAACATGCCTTGAGGCAGGAATTTCCTGCGACAAAGTTCTGGCATTGTAAAACCTTTGTCAGTGACATAACCAACGCTAATGAGCAGTTGGAAATCACTAACACCGAGCACAATCGCGCCCATAGGGCGGCCCAGGAGAACGCAAAACAAATTCTCCGGGATTATTACTTCCCGAACATGTAAAAATTAGCTAGCGAAGTGGTCGCAAATTGCAAGGTCTGCAATAAAGCCAAATACGACCGCCATCCCAAGAAACAGGAATTGGGAACTACGCCCATTCCATCATACGTTGGGGAAATGTTGCATATCGACATTTTTTCGACCGATAAAAAAATGTTCTTAACTTGCATCGATAAATTTTCTAAATTCGCTATCGTACAGCCCCTGATTTCCGGGGCAATAATAGATGTACGAGCACCTATTCTTCAGTTAGTAAATTTTTACTCTAACACCAAAACCATATACTGCGACAATGAGGCCTCCTTTAACTCGGAGACAATCACGTCATTGCTGAAAAACCAATACAGCATCGACGTTGTCAATGCGCCACCGCTACACAGTAGCTCTAATGGCCAAGTTGAGAGATTTCACAGTACCCTGGCGGAAATTGCCAGATGCCTCAAAATTGATAAAAAAATTGAGGACACTGTGGAACTAATATTGAGGTCTACTATAGAATACAACAAGTCGCTACATTCGGTCACAGAGTCTAGGCCGATAGAGGTCATCCACGCAGGCAGCGAGGAGATGAAGCTGGCAATTAAAGCCAAAATTGACAAAGCACAGCAATCCAACCTAGACAGAGTTAATCCTTCTAGGCAAAACAGAGTCTTCGAAGTCGGCGAAAGAGTACACCTTCGCAACAACAAAAGATTAGGGAATAAATTGACACCGCTTTACTCAGAAGAGCGTGTAGAAGCAGATCTGGGAACATCTGTTCTCATTAAGGGGAGGGTGGTCCATAAGGACAACATTAGGTAGGCACTCCACTCGCCACATTCGCCCTTATATTAAAACCCAATCTTTGCTAAATTCCCACAGGCTCTCCATTATATCCATCATATTGCTGTCCACCGCGAGCGCGAGAATCACTGATTTCTCACACGCTAAATACATCCCGGTGCTAGATGGCAATGTCTTAATATGGGAACAGTTCGGCCTGGTCAGGCACTCGACAAATCTGTCCGAGTTTGCCACCATTATCGACTCCACCATCAAAATGCTAGAGCTGTTCCCACAGTCCCATATGAGGAAACTGCTGGAAGTGGACATTGAGCATGCGCAAAACCTATTGGAGGAACTTAAGATACACCATAGAATGGCCAGGAGCCTTGATTTTTTGGGCTCAGTCCTTAAGGTCGTGGCGGGTACACCCGACGCGGAAGATTTAAGTAGAATCAACACCAATCAAGCGGCGCTTGTCGAGGCCAATAACAGACAGGTTATAATTAACACAGTGACACAGAAGCACATCAACCTACTTACAGACACAGTAAACAAGATACTCAGGGAGAAGAGGGACGGGCTTGTTGACTTAGGCCATTTGTATGAAACACTCCTTGCCAGGAATAGAATGTTAATATCAGAAATCCAGAATTGCATGATCACCATCACTCTTGCTAAAAATAATATCATCAATCCTACCATTTTTAATCACAATGACCTAAAGGCTATTTTCGACGAACAGCTAACAGAGGTCCTCATAGTTAGCCTTATGGATGTATCTAAGATTAAAATTCTTCAAAATAATGTTCTTGTCCACGTTATAGTCCAGTATCCTAGAGTTAAGCGTATTTGTAAAAAGGTCCTGCTCTTCCCCGTTGCACACTACCATACTATGCTACAAATAGAAAACAACATCGTGGCTGAATGTGATGACGGAATCCTAGCTGTCTCCGATTGCACTTCTACCAATTTGGCCACATTTTGCAAAAAAGCGTCCCAAGACACCTGCGCCAGGCAGTTACATGCAGGCGGGGCGGCTACATGCTAGAGGTGCAGAAACATCGAGTGAAATATCGATAACATCGATGTTTTCAAAACATCGGAACCATCGATGGTTCGTGACCATCATCGATGTTTTCACAAACAACTCTGCGCTCGGTAAGACAAAATTGTAAGTAAATGAATTTCTTATTGTTTTTTTTTTAAACTAACAAAATTGTTGATTATATTTAGGATTTCTAGTTAATGGTGTTGGTGGACGTTGATGGATGACGAAGGCAGTATGGAGAACTACCTGAAAAGTAAGTTATATATCTTTACAAGCCCACGCTTCCTTTAGATATGTGTGCATGTATGTGTATGTACACACATACATTCATAAATTGGCTACTAATTCCGCAAAAATTTGACGCAAGCCTTTAGTAACATGCTTTTTTTATTTATTGGTGTAATAGGAGTGGAACCGACAGAGGAAGTGGAGACGGAGTCAGCACAAAAACGAAAGAGAGCGATCGGTTGTTTGGGACCACTTCAAAAAGAGCAGTGACAAAGCGTATGCCATTTGCAACTATTGTGGAAAACATCTTAAGACAGCTGGCAATACCTCAAACTTTCTTGACCATCTTAAGCGCTTGCATCCGAGTCGCATGACCGCTGATAAGGAACCAATGCCTAAAACGATGGCAACTTTTTTGAACAAGGAGCCGTTCTATGGCAGTGACTCAAATGTAAAAAAAAGACTGGATAAAAAAGTGATGGATATGATTGTCAAAGACCCCCACAAATCATAACGCCCAAAACATCGCAGACTCAATAAGTTTAATGTTGGCTAAGTGGGGTCTTTTGTCGAAGGTTGTCACCGTTACAACGGACAATGATAGTACAATGAAAAAAGCGTGCGATATTTTGGAATTCAAGCATTTACCCTGTTTGGCACACACGATAAATCTGCTTGCTCAGGACATCTTAAAACTGGCAGCAGTAAATGTGATTATCTCAAAGTGCAAACGGATAGTAACATACTTCAAGCATAGCACAATAGCCACAGATAAATTAAAAGAAGCGCAAAATACAAATGAGCCGCTTCTCTTAATTCAGGAAGTGAGCACTAGGTGGAACAGTGCATACGCCATGGTAAAAAGAATACTTCAAATAAATGAATATGTAACTTTGACTTTGCTAAAACTGCGAAATGGCCCTTCACCGATCACAAATAAGGAACTCGACGTCTTGAATGACTTGTCGGATTTGCTGTCGCCTTTTCACGAAGAGACTCTTTCGGTGTCGACTAACACAAAAGTGTCTGTGTCGCTAATTATTCCAGTCATTGCCGAGATTCATCATAAAATAAATCAAGTAAAGGCACAGTTGCGAACACAGGAAGGAAAAAAATATATGTCGTTGTTCAAAAACGCTTAGTGGAAAAACTTGATTCCTTTGAAACGCACACAATTCCTCGCATCGCTACTCTCGTTGATCCTCGCTTCAAAAAAGATGGCTTTCTCCGAAGTTCAAACGCAGAACAAGCAGCCGAAGCGTTGGAGCTGGAATTGCTCTCTCTTGAGCCAACAACTCCACGACGTCCACCAACACCAGAATCAACTTTAAACGAGGTAAGCAGCAAATTTTCATTTTTGCAAAATAAGCCTAAGGGAAAGTCTACCAGAGCCGATGCCACAAGGCAATTTATGGAAAATAAAAACATTCCTGACACTTGCGACCCCTTGAAGTATTGGGAGGTATGATTTTTAAATAATTATGACTAACATGTTAAATAAGAAATATTTTGTACAGATGACTGCTGACAACGAGCTGAAATTGGTTGCAAAAAAATTTTTCTGTGTACAAGCCTCGTCCTGTGAGTCTGAAAGAGTATTCAGCCTAGCTGGACAAACCATATCTGACCGCAGGACACGGCTTAAACCTAAAGTTGTTGATAAACTTTTGTTCCTAAATAGAAATAGACACTTTAACTGATCTTAAATAAATCTCATGTTACTGTTTGTACTGTTTCTGTTCTTTTTGCATTTTATTTTTTTTTTTAAACATCGATGTTTCACTCGATGTTTTTTTTTGGAAACATCGAAAACATCGATGGACACGAACATCGATGTTTCTGCACCTCTACTACATGCCGGACGCGGCCCAGCAATCTGGAACCCCTTACAATTGTGGACGACGGAGTAATTATCATTAATGAGAAACTGACGAGGATTACCATCGATGACGGTCCCACAACGACCATAATAGGGACCCACCTCATTACTTTTGAGAGAAAGGCGGTGATCAACGACTCCGTATATTTGAACCTCAACCACTCAGTGAATATGAGCCCGGGTATAGCGGCCTCCCCCTTAATTAACATCACGGGACACGATCACATACTGAGTCTGCCATTGCTACAGCGGATGAACGAGCATAACCTGCGTTTAATGCAGGAGCTACGGGATGACGTGACAGATGGAGGTTCCCCGAGGATTTGGTTCGCCGCAGGAGTTGCCGTCAGCCTCACGCTATGCGGCTTGGTCCTGCTCCAACAACACTGCAGGCGCAGACGAGAGGCAGCCCAGCTACAAAAGTCCATCGACGAACTGGCTGTCACCGAGGACGGCGTCCAAATTAGGGGGGGAGTAGTTAACAACCAACTCCCAGCTTAGGCTGAGCAGGCCAGTTCTTACTTACCTTATTAATATTAATCATTTATCATGTTTATCATTCTCTAGTATTAATCACTTTTTATTATTATCAATATTATTATTACATTTTTCCCTCATGCATGGTCCATCCTAAATTGGGTCCGACTTATTGGCCCTAGAGCTGAGCCAGCACATTGTACCATTCCGAGCCGTGGCTCCTTTTCATTGGCTGACAGCGATCGTATGACTTCTGCAAAATGTGCAAGGTCAGCGGTCTGCCACGGGCACCCGGCTATGCATGAGCTTTTGTTCAATCTTAAGTTTAGTTTTAATTTGGATTTGAAATAAAGAGCTCCAGCTCGTTCATAAAACTCCGGCCTTAGCCGTTACATTATTTTGATTATTGAATTTGATTATCGTGCCTTAAGGGCCGTGACATCGGAGATAAGTATCTCCCACCGTATACTTCGGAAGAAACAAAGGAGTCGAAGCTACCACCCGACTCCGCTGTGGCCGCCAATCTTAGTGGCCGCCAACAATCAATCAGCGGGCAGTACCCTACTGCCACCCCCCTACGGATATATCACCTACCGGCTCTACCCCTGCCGCGGAGGAGCCGCCAACCGGCACGGACAACTAAATAATTTATATATACTTTATGGGGTCGGAAACGTCTCCTTCACTGCGTTGCAAACTTCTGACTGAAATTATAATACCCTGCAAGGGTATAATTAAACGATGGAAGCTATTCTACAAACCCGGAAAGGAAAATTTCGTTGCCGACGCTTTGTCGCGGCAACACATAAACGCTATGCAAAAAGAACCCCAATCTGATGTAGCCACTCTTCACAGTGAACTCTCGTTGACCTACACGGTCGAATCTACCGATAAACCCGTAAACTGTTACAAGAATCAAATAATCCTAGAGGAAGCAGACCAACCTTATATTGAAAAGGCACAACAGGTCAATCTAGATAGGTGCAACCCAACTAGACAAAACAGAATTTTTGAGGTAGGAGAAAATTATACCTCAAAAATAACAAAAGGTTAGGAAATAAACTAACCGCACTGTACACAGAAGAGCGTGTACAAGCAGACATGGGAACGTCTGTTCTTATTAGAGGGAGGGTGGTCCACAAGGACAACCTCAGATAAAAATACCCCTCAACTTTTTTCCTTTTTTACTTTATTTTCGTACACACTACACCTTAGCATACTTACTCCATTTTTTACACGGTAGATTTAACCTTTCGCCTTCTTACGGGATCGCGGGAATTTTATTGATAACCTTAACTATAGTTAACGCTAAGATTACGGATTATTCGCACGCTCAATACATCCCAATCACGGACGGAATTGCGTTGGTATGGGAACATAGAAACTTGCTTAGACATTCAAGTAATTTGTCCGAATTTTCAATTATAGTAGAAGAAACTGCTAGGTTGTCCGATTTATTCCCACAGTCGCATATGAAAAAATTGTTAGACGTCGACACCGAACATGCTAGAAGTTTATTGTCTGTTTTAAAAGTGCACCATAGGATGGCCAGGAGCCCAGACTTCCTAATTCCTTCCTAATCGCCTAATTCAGTTAAATAACCGTCAGGCTGTAATAAATACACAGAACGAAATTAATGAATTAACAGAAGCCGTTAACAAAATTATCAAGACCAAACAAAATAATATAGTTGACACTTCTCATCTGTACGAGGTACTTTTGGCCAGAAATAGAATACTAATAACCGAGATTCAAAATGTAATGCTTACAGTCACACCTGCAAATGCCAACATTATAAACTCAGCAATTTTTAACCAGAATGATTCGAAGTCTGTATTTGTTGATCACCCCACAGAAGTCCCAATCTTTAGCTTACTAGAGGCGTCTAACATTAGAGTCCTTCAGTCCGATAGTATAATCCATGTGCTAATCGCATACACTAAGATTAAAACAACTTGTAAAAAGGTCACGATCTTCCCCGTATCACACCAACATACCATCCTGCAATTGAAGGAGAACACGGTAGCCGAATGCAATAACGACGTCTTAGCGGTCACCGATTGCGTACCAACAACTTACGCATCATTTTGCAAGCTGGCGACCCATGACAATTGTGCTCGAGGCCTACACGCGGGGAGTACCGCCCTATGCGAGACGCAAGCCAGCCACCTAAGCGCCATCACGTTAGTAGACGACGGAGTAATAATAATCAACGAGTGCCCAGCTAAAATCAGCACTGATGACGGCCCTGAAATAGCTACCAACGGCTCACATCTCATCACGTTCGAGCGAGTGGCTTTCATCAATGGCACCAAGTACTCAAACCAACGTGAAGCTATAAGAAAGACCCCGGGCATGGCGGCATCCCCATTAATTAACATCATCGGCCACGACCCCACGCTAAGCATGCCACTTCTCCAAAGACTTAACAACCAAAACTTGGAGGTATTCCAAGGGCTTAAGGAGGAAGTGAAGTCAGCGGGAACTACCGACATCTGGTTCGCGGTCGGCGTGGGAGTCAGCCTTCTCATCAGCTGCTCCTTCCTACTCATCATGATGCTGAGGAGGAGACGAGACGCACGGGAGATCCAGCAAGTAGTCGATAAATTCCAGATGACCGAGGACGGTCATATTCCTAAGGAGGGAATTGTTAACACTATTAAGGAGTAATCATAAGTCGGTACTAACCTTGGGTGATTATTGAATCACCCTAGTATTTAAATGCAAAATCAGCGTAAACACCTTTAGGGGCCGTACCCGATTCCCATTGGTGCACGGTATGGTGAGTTATGTCGGTTTTGCTAGTGTCAGCACTTTGCTGCACGAGCGGTCGGCTTGCCGGCCGGACGTTGACTTATGTAAATTCCTTTGTCTTTAGTTTTAATTCAGAAATTCAATAAAGCACTAGCTTGAAGATTGAAACTCCGGCATTGGCCGTAACTTATTCTTTATTCATTGAAATTGGTTAATGTGCCTTAAGGGCCGTTAATAACGGAGTCGGTGACTCCCAACATAATCTTCCTAATTTGGAACATATAATAGAGCCAGCGGCAACCGCCCAGCTCGGCCGGAATACAGCTAGCCAAGGCTGAACCATCATCCCCTCCCCTGGAGCCAACTGACTGCAGCGAGGGACTGTGCGGGGAAGATATTTAAATCATAACTTATATACGCAACTACGAGATTTTACAATTCTTAAAATTTGTGACCGAATATGTGCTCATCAAACGCTGATAGGGCACCGGGATCACGTAGCTGCAATATACAATTTGGTTTTCTCTTTCTGCACTCGAATTGAAACCGCTGCATCGGCAGTTTTCGCTCGATGTGGGGTAAAACAAACAAATATTCCCAATTGTACACTGGCAGGAAATCGGATTCAAACGCTTACGTCATACAAAAAAAAAAAATATAAAAGAAAACGAACAAATATATAAACCTCTTCCATTGGTCGCCATATGTTCACTTGCCTATACTCAATTATTATTACCGAATTTAGACAAATCACTAACTCTATGTATATATGTACATTACAGTCAACACTAGAGAAACGACACAGGGATAGGATATCTACTAATTAATTCAACGAGAAAACACACAAGTAACATCTACACATATTGATACTAATCATATTAATTATAAGAGATAAACATACTATTACAACCAGACATTTAAGTTAACATAAGGAAAGTACTAAATGTTAAAAAAGGTTAACGCAGCTAGTAGAAGATTAGGTTTGAGAAGTTCAGCAGACCTAGTAGACGTTGAGGAAGAACAGCACCACCAAATAAAACAACCTTCTAATCCAAACATGAATCCTTTAGACTCTGGTAATGCATCGGGCTCAATCAGCCGTACAGTTAGTAACTCATTGACCATCATCAACACAACTCTAAACCCTAAAGATATTCTAGCGTTCATACAACATTTACCCACTTATGAAGGCCCTAACGATAACCTGGAAACTTTCATTATTAGTGTTGAGGAATTACTGTTGCTCATTCGGTCCGTAGATCAGTCTATGTACGGGCAATTGATCCTCAGGGCTATCCAACATAGAGTTAAGGGCAGGGCACATGAGGCATTGAATCTCTGTAATACATCACTTATCTGGGACGAAATTAAGGCAAATCTTAAACGACTGTATACTTGCAAGAAGACCGAAGCTATATTAATCCAAGAAATGCAAACCCTACCAAGCGGACTTTCCATTAACAAACTATTTTTTGCAATAGCAAAATTGAGAGGCCAATTGGTTTCAGTGATGAAAGACTCTGACCGAGATGGTCAGAATATTACAGCAAAACACGCCCTATTCTCTGACATTTGCCTCAATGCATTCATTGTGGCCCTAAACGGATAATTGAAAA